GACTCACAATGGATTTATTGGAACATAATGCATCATAAGGTGAGGAGCACCTGTATACAAAAATCTGTTTTATTTCTGTACATTAATAACGTATCCGAAAGAAATTAAAAAAAAAAAACATTTACAATTGCATCACAAAGAATAAAATAGGAAGAAATGTAATGTAGGAAGTGAAAGTCTTGTACACAGAAATAGAACAAACAATCCAAAAATCTGTATGGAGCCACAAAAGACCCAGAGTAGCAAAAGCAATTTTGAGAAAGAATAAAGCTGGAGGCATCGCACTTCCTGACTTCAAAGTATAGTACAAAGTGATGGCAGTCAAACAGTACAGTACTGACATAAAACAGACACAAAAATGAACGGAACAGAGAGCACAGAAGAAACCCCCATACATGGTCAATTAATTTATGAGGAGCCAAGACTATACAATGGAGAAATGTACATATCAGGAAAACCCAGTCTTTGCCTCTTTTATGTCTTTATCTCCTGTAAAGGGAAAAAACCCAGTCCTTCCTCCTGTGTTTCTTTCCTGCGTCTCCTTTACTACTGACACGGAACACTTCACTTCTAGTCACCAAATACGTGGGGGCTTCCCCCACCAAGAACTGCAACACCACCTGAGTGCCCTACAGTTCAACCCCATCCTGACACTACCCAGAGACAGCATCAGATTCCATGGGTTAAGGGCTCAGATCCCACAACCCTGCCTCTCCCTGCCCTCTTCAGATCCAATGACAGGTAGTGGATCCCCAGGTTACCCACCACTTCTGCCCGGTTTGGTCATGAATTGGAGGTTCCCAGGACCCTCTCCTAAGGTTCAATTAATTTGCTGGAGCCACTTGCAAAATTCAGGAAAACGCTTACTTAGGTTTACCAGTTTATTAAATGATATGGTAAAAGATACAGAAGAACAGCCAGATGAAGAAATACACAGAGCAAGGTCTGAGAGGATCTCAGGCATAGCAGCTTTTGTCCCCATGGAGTTGGGTGTATCACCCTCCTGGTGTGAATGTGTTCACCTATCTGGAAGCTCTCTGAATCCCATACTGTTGGGATTTAATGGAAGCTTCCTCACTTAGACACGAGCAATTTTAAAATCCATTTCCAGTCCTTTCCCCGTCTCTAGAGAAGTGAGGAGCAGGGTTGAATTTCAAGTTTCTAACCATGAATTGGTCTTTCTGGTGATCGGCCCCAACCCAGGAGCCACCTCGGAGCCCACCCAGAGCTGCCTCACTAGAACAGAAGATGCCCCCAGGAACATCTTATCCCTTAGGAACATACAGGGGGGTTCGGAGCCCTGTATCAGGGACCGAGTCAAAGACCAAACAAGATGCTCTTAGTGTTCTTATCGTTTAGGAAATTATGGGCTTTAGGAGGGGCTCTGTGCCAGTAACTTAAGGCAGAGACCAATATACATTTTTTCTATTGTCTCACAGGAAAGGACAGTCTCTTCAATAAATGGTGTTGGGACATCTTGACAGCCACATACAAACAATGAAACTGGATCACTATCTCACACAACACACAAAAATTAACTCAAAATGGATTAAAGACTTGAACATAAGATAATAAAACTCTTAGAAGAAAACAAGTCTTGGCACCAGTCTTGACAAAGATTTTTGGATGAGATACCAAAAGTAAAGGCAACGAAAGCAAAAATTAAGAAGTGGGGCCACATCAAACTCAAAAGCTTCTGCAGAGCAAAAGAAACCATCAACAAAATGAAACAGCAACTTACCAAATGGGAGAAAATATATGCAAATCATTAACCCCTGATGAGGGGTTAATATCCAAAAACCATAAAAACTCATATAACTCAATGGCAAAAAAAACACAAACAATCTGATTACAAAATGGGCAGAGGATCTGAATAGACTTTTTCCCAAAGAAGACATACAGAGGGCCGACAGGTACATGAAAAGGTGCTCAACATCACTGATCACCAGGGAAATGCAAATCAAAACCACAGTGAGCTATATCACCTTGCACCTGTTAGAGTGTCTGTTATAAGACCAAGAAATAACAAGTGCTGGCAAGGATGTGGAGAATATATAGAGCTTATGTTCTAGCTCAGAGACTTTCAAACTTGACATGCATCAGAAATCCCCTGGAGGGCTGTTAAAAGAGATAGTATGTTAAAATAACTAATGATTAATGACTGTTTTGGTCCTAAGAATCTGCATTTCTAACAAGTTCCCAGATGATGCTGATGCTGTGATCCAAGGACCACACTCTGAAAACCACCGTGCTAGTGGGTAATACACAGGGTCCGGCAGAAGTGAGGCCTGCTTGAGTGTGGTTGGTAGGGTAATAATATGGGTGTAATAATCTATAGTTTTAATTTGAACATTCCACCTAAAACGTCATATGGTGTACTTGAGTGTGTATTGTTATGTTAGAGAATTACATGCTTATGATTTTGTAATAAAAGATTTTGTAATAAAAAAGGGGCGTTATTTGTGCTGGACCCTGTACTACAGACATCGTAAATCTAGTAAAGTGTCTAGTATGTTAGAAAATAAGTGCTCTAGAGAAAAGTGGGAAAACAGAACAAGGCAAGAGTAGTTGTATCAGAACTAGTATTCTCATGTTTTATTTAAATAAAATATCCACTTTCCCATAACAGTGTCAATAGCTAATGGCTCTTTCTCTTGCCAGGCAGGCAGTATTCTAAGGGCTTTACATACGTTAACTTATTTAATTCGTATAAAACCCTTATGAAGTAAATACTATGATTTGTCCCCATTTTGCAGGGCAAACTAGTTAGGTTAAAGTAAGTTGTTCAAGGTCACATGGCTGCTAAGAGGCAAATGTAGGATTTGAACCCAGGCAGTCTGGCTCTAGAATCCCTGCTGTTAAATATACAACTACACATGGCTTCTCGATTCACATTTAAGGCAAGAACTCCTAGAACTCTTTAGGACTCAGGGCACTAACTGATACATAATAATTCTCAATAAATATTATTGAAAAATGACTGAATTCAATTATAGCACATAAGCTAAATGCAAGAGCCGTGTTAGGTGCATTATTCAGTGCCTAATAATTCATGATGGAAATTAAAGCTCTGGAAAGTTTACGAAGTAGTCCTTGAAGTAGAAATAAGGAATCAGAGATGAGGCCTGGTGTGTTTACTTAATTAAATTCAATTTATTCAAAAAATATTCATTGAATAGTATGAACAAAGTAGTGAACAAGAAGACTGAAAGTTGTTGAAACTCTTGTTATAACCTGAGGATATACTGTATTTACTTACCCATTAAACAACCAAGTCTGTGACCAACAACTTATGTTAGAGTATTTTGTGCTTGGGTGGAAATTCATTGTTCTGATTGTCCTCTTTGCAAAAATGAGGAGAAGGTCAGGTAAGTGACAAAAGTGAATATAACTAACTCAGTTTTCTACTTTTCAAACAGAATGCATTATTTAGCCTTTAAGAAATGGGTATTGCAAAATTAAATTCAACACCTAGCTGAAAAGATAAACCCCAGTATTTTTTCAACCCTGTAAATTAGATCCCATCACTCCCTTGCTCAATATCTTTTAACTGCATCTCATCTCATTTAGCAACATGAAAACTTTCACTGTGATGTACAAGACCCCGTACGACCTGGTCCTGCCTACCTCTTTCCAGCCTTGTCTACTACCACTATCTCCTTTGCTCCTTCCACCTCCAACACAACTGGTCTGGCCTTCCTGCTCTTCCTAGAAATACCAACCCCATTTCTGCTCAAGGACCCTTGCAGTGCTATTCAGTCCTGACACTCACTTCTCCCAGATTTCCACATGGTTTCCTCCCTTACTTCATTCATAACTCTGCTCAAATGCCATCTCTTCAAATAGGCCTTTCACAGCCCCCACCCCCACTTAAAATCAGAATGTTCCTCCTCTCTCTACTCCTTTGTCCTGCTTTACTTTCCTGTACAGGCATACATTGGGAATAGTGTGGGCTGGGTTCCAGAGGACCCAATAAAGCCACTGTTGCAATAAAGTGAGTCGTAATCTTTTTGCAGGTGGAGGGTCTTGTCTTAAATTTCTTAAAAACACAACATCTGCGAAGCCAAAAGGGGGAACTGCAATAAAACGAAGTATGCCTGTGTTGCCCTTAAAATGGCCTCTTAATGGTTATACATCATCACACCACTAAAACGGGGATTGTAGGTCTTTTCACTATAATTTACAATATTAACAGCATGTAAGGCAGTGTCTAGCCCAGTAAGCACAAGTTAAACAAACATGAATTTCATTCTCACCAGTCATTTGGTTCATATACCCTTGGGTAACTCAAGCTCTGGCCCTTAAGTAAAAACAGTAAAACAAAGTCTTATCCGCCTTGCCATTGAGATCTATTTCGTTTTGAGGTGAAGAACTGTGCTTCCTGTGGATTTAACAGGACAACTCAAGCTCCTCCAGGCAAGGACTGCAGCAACCTGAATTCTGAAACCGTGGGGCAGGAAACAGTCTAAGCAGAAAGTTCATAACAGGACAAAACCTAAAAGCCACAATCCTGATTTTAAAGACCAAACTCCCCAAACCGGTATTTACCAAACCCAAAAGTATGGTTCCTTTGGGTTCCTAACCATTTTTTGGTGCTAGGGATCTTTTGCCAGCCTGGTGAAAACTATGGACCTCTCTTGAGAATAATCATTTAAATGCATAAAACAAAATACAGAGGATTCCAAAAGTAATCAGTTCTACTGAAATACAGGACCAAAGATTTAAAGTCTCCTATGCTCTTCTTGCCAGAGTGAGAATGAGACGAGAAAAATCTGAAGGTTATAGGAGGATCAAGAATCCTAAGGAGATGGTACTCCGAGGTCCATCACTGAGCAACGTAAGTGAAAGCAGGGAGAGATCCTGAGCGCTGGGTCCAGCCAGGTCTAGGGGACGAGTTTGAGGAGAAGAGAAAAGGGCCCAGGTCTGGGAAGAGGGTGAGGCTTTTCCTCCTAGAACGCTCGGAGCTGTGCTACCTAGGGCTCGGCTCGCCTCCGCCTCACCTGTCCCTCCAGTCCCCAGGAGCCGCTCTGGCACCCCTCGTAGGTCTTCATGGAGACCGCGGAAGATCTCATGCAGTTTCTCGAAATGCTCGGAAGAGGCGGCGGAGGTGGCCATGGTGCAGGCAGCGCTCAAGCAGCGGCCGCCGAGATTCGGCCCCGGGGCCCACTCCAGCCACAGCGGTCAGCCGCCCAGCTCGGCAGGCATCACGGCGACCTCCTCCAGCAGCGCCACCGCCCACCCTGGAAGAGGCGCTTCCGGGGCCGCAGCTGGGTCCTCCCGAGCGGGAACGCCCACCCCCTTCATCCCGTCACGGAGAGAGCGCCGGGTGCGAAAGCCTTACGGAAAGGTCGCGTGTACTGCGTTTACCGGGAAAAGCTTGTGAGAGCAGAGGTGCGCCCCTGCTAGCAACAGTCCCAGACCTCCGGTTAGGTCAGCGCGGATTTGGGGAGAGCGCCACAGCGGAAGGAATTGTGGGGACCCGCGGGACTGGCAGCGCGGCCGCCTGTCTCCAGGGCCCCGCCCCCTAGCGTGGGGCGGACCTGCAGTGCATGCCGGGGGCTGTAGTTCAGCAAAGGAAAGCGCACCTACCGTAGGTCACGCGTCGAGGGGCGCGGTTTTGCGCGGAGGCAGACCGGAATGACTCTGAGCGTATTGGTTTGGTATTATTGTGCGCCTGGACGTCAACTCGCTGTCATAGCACTTTTTGGCCCCCTTAACTTCCTTAGTTCGTGTCCTGACCAAAAGTTAGCGTTCACCCCTTGAAACGTAGTCGGGCCAGGCTCCCGCCTGCACTTGAGCGGTAACGCACTTTTCCTGGGGAGTTCAAGCGACCAGGGCCACCTGCTTTCAGAAGCGTTCCCCGAGGAATGTGACCCCCAAAAATGTACTCAGCCTTCGGCGGCCGGGATGGCCTTAGTGCTTTTCGTTCAGTCAGCTGATGTTTGTTAATGTTAAACGTAGTCACTGTGCGAGGGTCTGGGCACACTCTGGTGATGAAAAGATTCTCTGGGCGGTTGGGTAGTTTATAATGTGGTGAGCGTGGGGGACCCGGTTTCAAGCCCCATTTCTACTAAGGGAAATGTGTTAACAGTAACAAAGTCCTTTCCTGCATCCCATGGGTTTCCATGGTTCACTGGAAAGAAATTACTGTTTTCACTGATTTCATGGTTTGCCTGTGGAGCTGGTTCTGGAATGTTTGCTTAGCAGCCCAATACTGTATTTTTTTTTTTTTTTAAACCCGCGATATAGTGAAGCCGCAATAAGTGAACCGCGATACAGCGAGGGACGACTGCACTTAAAACTGCCCACACGTATTAAAAGATACATGACTGTTCAGGAGGAAATGATTGTGATTTATATCTCCCGGACCCTTGTTTTTACTAGATTGAGTTCATTAACCGTTGATTCAAGAAACTTGTTAAGCTCCTAATGTTAAGCATAGAAACAGCAAAGTCTGAGATTGTTGGTGGCAGGCAGTGTACTCTAAAGTCCCATAGCACTGTTATAGAAGGGGCAAGTACAAAAAGGAGATAAATAACAAGGAAGAAGTAATCCTTGAACAGCATCACAAAAGAAAAGCAGATGGATAACTGAATGATCAGATTATTACACAACTGAAGTTAATGGCATTTCAGTTGAGACTGTACTGTAGCTAGACTTTGGGACAAACTAGCCTTAGAATGAGAAACGATTGCATAACTGTAATAATGAAGTGTCTTCTTCTTTTGATTATAATTAAATTTTCATTTGTTTTCTTCTGTTGACCCTAAGTAAACTTTCCCTTAATTCTTGTAGTTCTTATTCTGGTAAATTAAGACATGCTAAGTGCCCTGGCTGGTGTAGCTCAGTGGATTGAGTGTGGGCTGCAAACCAGAGTTGCCAGTTTGATTCCTGGTCAGGGCACATGCTTGAGTTGCAGGCCAGGTCCCTAGAGGGGGCCACATGAGAGACAACCACACATGATGTTTCTCTTCCTCTCTTTCTCCTTCCCTTCCCCTCGCTAAAAATAAATAAATAAATAAATAACTTAAAAAAAAAAAACATAAGTAATAAAAAAAATTTTGTCATCAACAGTTCGATTAAGTAAAATATGAATTCAGTTATTCCACTGCATATTATCAAGTTTTGCAATTTTTCCATAAAATAACCACTTCCAAATATATAGTTCAATGGTCAAAACAAGTGTAACAATTATTAATTTACAAATATGAGAAGACTGTGGTCCAATAACGCTTTCCCCCACCAAAGTGAATATATAATTGTTGGTCCAAGAAAATCACAAATTCTATTAGGATGACATACTATAAACAGATGATGGAACCTTACCAATTCCTCGGACTTCCTTTGGCAACATTTCTTTTGATAAAAAGTTCTCCAAATACAATGTAGCTTTTTGATTTTTTAGGAAGTAGACCTTTTAAGCTTGTCAAGATAATGCAAGCAAATGCCCTAAAAGATTATTAAATCAACTGTAACTACCAGTATCAGTTCTTAAGTTAATGCTGCTGAATAAAAAATCGAGGGGTATTTTTCATTTTGGCGTTTTTTTTTTTCTGCCACCTTGGTTGGGGCTTACGACAGTGCCTTAATCAGCCTTGCTAACTCCGCTGCTCCCCTTTAATTCTTCTATAGCTGGATATTAGCATCTCCAGCTTTAAAAAAAAAATCCTTAACTAGTCCCTTCATTATCTTGCAGGCTTATTCTCTTTTTAGAACTTCTTGCTACCCATATGCTTCTTGGCTACTCATCTGCTTCCCCTTGCAGCTCTACCCATTTGCACCAGAGGCTGTGTGACACTAGCTGGCTCCATCTCTGATCATCTACCTGCATCAGGGTCTGGTTTAACACTGTTGTTCCCTTAGGGCTATTTCGAGTTTTGTGAAAATGCTCCCAACTGCAAAAATTCACAGGAACACACATACTCAGTAGCCATCACCCAAGAGCCTTTCCCATCCTCTGGTTGTCTAAGGGAAACCAAGGCACCGAAAGGAGGGCCTCTGTGGGTCTGAGGTCAGTAACGGGAGTCAGGAGGCCTACCCTCTCAAGCGGCTCCTTTCACTATCTCCTTGTGGGTCCGAGAAACAGCAGGAAAATGAGAATTGAAACTTGATTTTCATTTCTGCCATCCTCTAGAACCCACTCGCCCCTTAGAAGAGGAAGTTCTCCCGGGCCCAGGCATGGGAAAGGGCCTGGACAGCAGCAGCTTTAGGCTGTCAGAGATACAGCCGTACCACGATTCGGATTCAGTTAGATTTCCCCAAAGAATCCAGAGGCTGGCACCATGATGGTTTTACTAGGAGATGAGGGACAAGCCCTGCTCTTGTGCCAAGCCACTGTGACTCCGGGCGTTTGGCAGAGGCTGCGGTGTGGCCTTCTCGAAGTGAGGGTTGGTTGGTTGGGAGGAACTACGTTGTGAACAAAACTGCCACAAACCAACCCTGCCACAGCTTAGGTTCTGCGGGGTAGTAGGCGTCAGAAGGAAAACATGAGCTTGCGGGTGTACTCACGAAGGTGTACCTATCCTACGGGGTCTCTAGTAACTGCAATAACAGGAGCAAAGTAAATCTGGACAAATGCAAGGTGTTCTGATGAATCTGGCAGTGTACGCTGGGCTCTTATCAGATACCAAGTTGGCAAGTCTGAAAGGTTTGCTCTCTTTGTGCCCAAGGTTTTGGCCATCCTGAAGGAGAATCATTTTGGCAGGGAGTACAGAGTAGTCTGCTGCGCACTTCTCTTGGGTCCAACTGCCACCACCTCTCAATCCGTAGGGATGCCCAGCAGGTCACAGCTGACGTCCCAGAGCCGTCGTGCTATTGTCTCATTACGAGCCTGGGCAGAGACCCATGTCACATGGCAGTCACTGGAAGGGAAAGAGAGAGGTGTGAAGCACAGGGTTAAGCACCGAGTCTGGGCCTCGGTCAGGTAGCTCAGTTGGTTAGAGGATGATCCCCATACGCCGAAGTTGCAGGTTCAATGTCTGGTCAGGGCACATATGAGAAGTAACCAATGAACCAATGAATGCATAAGTAAGTAGAACAACAAATCGATGGCTCTCTCTCTCTCTCTCTCCCCCTTCCTCTCTCTCAAACATCAATAAATTTTTTAAAAATTAAAGGAAAGAATGGAGCCTATTCTCTGCCTGGGATAAGAAATAAGACAGAAAACCAACCCAGGGATGGCACGTCCTTGAGACACTTCACAGCCCCGGGTTCATGCTATGTCTCCATTCTCCAATCTTTACCCAGAGAAAGCATAATTTCCAGGATGGAGCTCACTAGACCACCTCTGATCAGAATGCTCTGTTTGATGTAAATGCATATCACTTAGTCTTAATTTCCCCCTTTGTGTGTATATATTTAATCATCACAATCTTTGAAATCATATAAAAAGCACTTTTTAAAAACTATGCTATTTCAAGAAAACTGCTTCTTGGACATTCTAAGCAAATTCTGAAGGTAAAAGGCTGAGTTGACAAGTCTGGGATAACAATGTGAAGCAAATGCTTCCCACTGTGTCCATCACAACAGTGCCGCTCCAAGTGCGGGCTGTGCACCAGCAGCAGGAGCATCACCTGGAAACCCGTCAGAAATGCCAGTTCTCAGGCCCACCCCAGACCTACCGAATCAGAATCTTGAGGGTTGAGGCCTAGGAATCTGTTTTTAACCAGTTCTCCAGATGGTTCTTAAATGCACGAAAGTTTAAGGAAAACCACTTAAAGAAATTTTTGCATTTAAAAAACAAGTCTTACGTCCTGACTGATGTGGCTTAGTGGGTGGGAGTCATCCTGCAAACCAAAGGGTTGCAGGTTTGAGTCCTGGTTGGGGCACATGATCAGGCTGCCAGCCAGGCCCCTGGCTGGGGGTGTGCGAGAGGCGACAGATTGATGTTTCTCATGCACATTGATATTTTTCTCCCTCTCTAAAAATAAATAGAGCATTTAAAAAACAAGCCATATAAGTATAGTACTTCTGTTTAAGGGAACTCACCGGCACAAGCTGCCATTGCTGAGTGAGAAGTCCATCACTGAGGAGCAGAAGCTCTGTATGCGTTTGCAAATGACTCGGCCTCTGCAGCCTCCACTGCACTATGCCTACCCTCAAGTTTATGGTGAAGAGCAAATGACACAATGGACACGACAGTGCCTGGTAAGCTATGACGTGCTGTAAAAATTATTCAGATACTACAGTAAGAGCTACTTGCGTGTGGTTAAGCCACACGCACAGCCACGGTGCTGACATTCACAGTGGGGTTTTAATCAGCATGGTAAGACTCCCCACGTATGCTGTCTCAGTCAATGTCACCACCGACCTCCTTGTGGCGCAGGCTTCCACCCAAGTCACCAAATCTTCCCCAATTCCCTCACTCAGTTGGTCAACAAGTGGTAAAAATTCTGCCTTTTCACCTAGCCATTCTTTTCATTCCACTTGTCATTACCCTAAATCAGGATTTATCTCTCACCTGGGGTACTTATTCACTCCGTAAACAAAGTCACCCGGGATGCTTTTGTAAAGCGCAGACCGTATTATGTCTTTTTCTACTTTTATTTTATGTATAGTCCATTCTTTAAAATTTTGGGTCATTTCCACACAATCTTGAAGGTAGAGATGGAAACCTGTTAAGAATGTGATCTTATGTGACACCTGGGATTTTTTTCAAAATAATATGAGTTGAAAAAAATATGGGAAGGGGTACGTCTGGCCATGAGTTAATGGTTGTGGGGGCTGAATTATGGGTATGTGGGGATTTAACATGCTATTTTGTCTACTACTACACATATTCAATATTATCCATAATAAAAAGCTTTAAAAGTCTTCAGTCCACTGATACTATTTCAGTCCCGAAGACAGTAGAGAAATACAGGTTCAAAATCTTTTTAATATAAAAAAATAGAATTAGAAGTCCAAAAAGGAACAAAGAAAACTGAATTGACATAACGAAATACAGGAATAAAAGAAACAACCAGAAAGTGTAATCATCAGTAGAAAAGATGACATGAATAAAGCCAAACCTAGCAGTTACCACACAAAAAATGTGAATGGGTCAAATTCTCCTATTAAAAGGTAAAAAGTCTAGAGTTAAAGAGCAAAAGCTATGTTAGGCAATGCACTTTTTATTTTTTAAAAAAAGTTATTTATTTTTAGACAGAGGGGGAGAGTGGGAGAGAGGGAGAGAAACATCAGTGTATGGTTGACTCTTGTGTGCCCCCTACTGGAGACCTGGCCTGCAATCCGGGCATGTGCCCCAACTGGGAATCGAACCAGCAACCCTTCAGTTCATAGGCTGGTGCTCAATCCACTGAGCCACACCAGCCAGGGAGGCAACGTGCTTTTTAAAAAAGGACACCGTATATCAAACAAATCCAAATTATTTCCTTTAGGCAATAAAATCCCATCTTCAACAACAAATACATTCATACCTGAAATGGTTCCCACTTAGAACCTCAAGACCTTCTGTTAAAGCACAATACAAGCTGGTCTGGGCTCCCTCCTGAGGGGTTTTGATGAAGAAGGAGAAAAGCCGCCATATCCATTGCATGAACGATGAGTGCCGAGTCAGTTCAGACTTGACTGTGCCAGGGTGTACAGAGTATGTCGAAACGCCAGAGCCTGATGGGGCGGGTGCCACAGAGAGAGGGAAAGGCAGGACTTAATGTTGCTGAATGGCCAAAAAGAGCAGAGGACTGAATAAACACTGCCCCGTTTCAAATCTGGTCTCTGCCACTCATTAACTGTGTGACCTTGGGCAAGCTCTGGATGTTGTGACTCAGTTTCCTCATCTGTAAAGTGGGGATAATAATAGCTGCACCTCACAGGATTGTTCTGAGGATTAAATGAGTTCATATGTAAAAGAGCTTAGAATATTGTCTGGGGTGTTTATACATTTAGAAATGGCATTGATTCATATGTTATTTCAGGTCCCCATTTCTTCACTGGAAACCTGGGGGCCAGAAATGTTTCCAACTTTCTTCTGTATTATAAAGGTAATATAATACATACCCATATGCTGTTTATTACCTACTCTCCCTATTACAGGTGAGGTTTTGTAGCCCAGTGTGTTTTGGTGTCGAGCTTATTTAAAAAAATGAATTTTTAGGCCTTTGTAGATTTTACAAGTTGCAGATAAAGGACTGTGGACTTGTATTATTTTCAACTCGACCTCTACTCTACATGACCCATATTTTATATCCTCAGTTCCAACCACAACAGCTTCCTCTCTGTTTCTCAGACTGAGCCCAACATTTCATGCATTGGCTCCTCTCTCCCTGTAATGTTCCTCAGCCTCCTCGCCTGCCCCACGCTATAACCCGTCTGATTTCTAATCACCCTGCAAAGGCTGGGCTTGCGACTCACTTCCCCAGAAAAGTCTACCCTGGTCCCTCAGACTGAGTAAGGCCCCCTGCAAATCTGTTACAGGTCCTTGTACTTCCCCTTTATAGCATTTACACAATTATAATTACACAACAACAATAACAAAGAAACAACCTAGAGGTTGTTAAGGAAATGAATTGATAAACTAAGGCACATCTATACTATGAAACACTATGCAGCCAACAAAAGGGGTGGGGTAAACCTCTATGTACATGCAGAAAGATCTCCAAGATATTACAAATTGGAATTTCAGTTCCTTATATATGATAATATGTACTATGTAAATGCCCAAGATAACTGGAAAGGTGTACCTTAAAAGTTGTTGGCCGTGGTTTCTCGAGGAGAGAAAAGTAAGAGGGGGAGAGAGGGGAATAAGGGTTTTTTTCACATTTAACTCTATATACTTCCACATTATTTGAACTTCTACAGTGAAAATTATTCATGTATTATTAGGCTGATTTTACCTGTGACGGTTGTGTAAGTACTTGTTAATTATCTCTCCCCCATTGGATCTAAAGCAAATCAAGGACAGGACTGCACCTGCCTTGTGCACCACCCTGACCCCAAGCCCTGAATCCAGTGCAGAGAATAGCATGGGCACTGAAAACCTGTCTATTGAATGGTTGAATGAAGGACTCTTCTGAAACGCCTAGGTTTCTTTCATTGCGCCACAGCCATTTCCCACTAATCCTCACATCTATCTATCAGTCTTCTTCACTCGTGCAGCCTCTGCTTTATTCTGACCCTGAGCCCATTTCCCCACCTCCAGGCCACGCTATCTCCCTGACCAACTCTTTGGATAGAGCCAATAGAGAATGTCATGTCCTGGGCAGAGACTGGACCTATGAACTGAGCTGACCACCAGCTTCCTTCCGCCTCATCTCAGCAGTCTGGATGGTTTGATGATCCTGGTCTAACAATAGGGCATCTGTGTCTGATTCCTTAAGCCTGAATTCTGCACACTTCAACTCCTGGGCAACTGCAACTACCCAGTCTGGATTTCCTTTGTCTTTACTGGAAATCCAGAGTGAATGGTGCAAAGGAACTCTGTTTATTTGTGACTGAAGATTGCCCTCCTCAAGCATACATTTCCCTCATATCGGACCCTTTGCTGTTAGGGAGACACCCTGCCCCTCCGGCCCCATTCCAGCTTTTGTTTTATCCTAATAACTGCATTTCATGCCAGTTCAGGTCCCTCCCTTCCACTTGGTTTCACTGTGAGTAAAAAACTTTGGCTAGCTCACAAAGCCTGAGCTAATTATGACAACAATCTGCAAAGCAGTCCCATTTTCCACATGAGGAAGTCAGTCCTGAAAAGTTAAGTAACCTACCGCAGGTCACACAGCTAGTAAGTGGGAAAACCAAGCCTTCGGACTCAGTCAGCATTTCCTGCCCCCTGGGAGTCACCTCCAAGGTCCGCTGTGGGCTGCTTTTCCAAACTATACCCAGACGCAGTCATGGAAGCAGGTGCTGTCCAGAGGACAGGCTCCAGAAAACAGTTGCTATTTCTGTGGTTTTTTAGCTACTTCCCTGACTCCTGTGCCCACGCTCATTTCTTCTAAGCCTACCTTCTAGCCTCCGGGCCAGCTCCTTGGTGAAGAGAATGTTGGCTAACTTGCTATGACAGTAGGCCAGACCTGCATTGTAGAATTTGTCGCCATGAAGGTTATGGAAATGGATCCTTCCAAGGTGATGTGCTAGGGAAGACACGTTCACTACCCTTGATGGGGCTGATTCCTTCAGCTTCTCTAGCAGCAGATGGGTCAAGAGGAAGTGCCCTGTAAGAAAAGACAGAATTAACTGAGTTCAGGAACCAGGCAGGGGTGAAGTGAGCAGGACTCTGCTATGGGAAGCAGAGAACTCAGGAATAAGGCTTTTTGCCTCATTCATTCATTATCACCTGCAGAACAAGTTCAGCACAGGTTTAGGGAGACAGAAAGAGTCAAAGACACAAGACGCCCTTCTGTGAGGTATATCTGGATTATGTGAATATGAACATGATGTCCTGTCTCTTTCCAACTTTGGTTATTATCACGCTTCAAGAGCAGGCAGCCTCCATCTGATGCTGGCCACAAGCACCACTCCAAAGAAAGCAACACCACCGCCAATATGATTAGGCTGTTCAAAATTCCCCAAGGTAAACTGAATCTGAATCACAGATGAAAAAGTAGGCGGAACCAAGTGGGCCTCAAATTTATCCCTGTGCTATCAGGCAGGATGATGATACATATTGTTTACTTATGGTCTATTTGGCCCAGAGGTCCAATCACACCACAAAGAAGACTCAGTCTGGTCCCTAAGTTTTCCAAGGAGAGCTTTAGGTTCCCTATAGCTTCTGCGATGAGACCAGATTTCTTACCCAAGTGGTTGACTCCTATGTGCATCTCGAAGCCATCTGCTGTCTTGGAGTAGGGACACATCATCACTCCTGCGTTGTTGATCAAAATGTGGAGATGCTTTTCCTCTGCAGGGAAGAGGAGACAGAACCGTGGCTGCTACATCTTAGAAATCTGCCTCACACCCAGATTCTGGAAATGGAGATGCGGGACTTCAATCTTTCCTCCATGTTCCCTTTATACTTATTTTGTATTGTTTTCACTCTAAGACTTTAGGGAACTCCTGCATACTTTTACTACATGCCCAAATTCCATCTTACACTATCAAATGGCCTTTTCAGTCCTTCCAATCCAGGAGCTACTGGTAAGGACTGCTTCTGGGAAGTGTTCCATCCGCCTTTCCCAACAGAAAGACTTCCCAGCTGAATGGGAAGATTCCAAAGCAAGAAAAAATGACATTTTCTATGCACCCCCACCACTGAGAGTCAGGCCCCAAAAGAAATACTGGGTTCACTTCTTTGTTGCATCTGCCAACTTTCCCTCACAGTTCATTTTCTCACGTGGTTAGTAATTTCTGACTAGGTGCTCATATTGGTGGATGTTGTTTTTCTTGGGAGGCCTGGCTCCCTGGGTTCTAAGAGGATATGCCTACAGAAGGCTCTTGGATTTGTTTTTCATATGTTACTACTGGGCTTTATGTTGATTTCTCAGCTTAAGATTCTTGCACTATTTGGAGGTGTGACTTCTACCTTGTCCCCCATAGACGATGCCAGATTGAGGTTCTGATTTCTTGTGGATGATTCTTTGTTCATCTGTGTTCTGAACAGATGATAAGCTTCTTTGTCATGTCTCTCAACTGGTGGCCTGGGCTTTTTTGATCTCCTGAACCATGGGCCAGACGGCCTTTTGTGAATCCCAACCTTATGTGGAGCCTCAGACACCACTCCCCAGCTCTCAAGGACCCGAGGCCTCATTTCCACACCCTAAAACTCGTATTGAGCTCTGAAACTCCTGTGGGATTTTTGGCTTTAGTTTTTATGTACAGCTATGACTTTTTGAGTTCATTTTTATTGCTACCTGTTCAGGATTCCCCTTTGTTACTAATGAGTTCAACTGTGAATCAAAAGCTTTTGGTTATATCTGACATAACATTTCTACATATTAGAAAGGGAGAGCAATCTTTTCCTTTTAGCCAAATCTGCCACATCGATCACAAGACCCACAACACAGTCTTGGGTTCTATACTCACCTTCCAGGAAGCCCTTAGCAAAGGCTCGAATAGACTGAGTATCAGCCAAGTCTAGTTTCCGCACCAAAACCTGTTGGTTCCCTGTCACGGTCTGGATCTCTCTGGCCACCAACTCCCCCTTTTGCACATCGCGGCAAGCTATATACACACGGGCCCCTGTCAATCAACATATAAGAGACAAATCGTCAGCTCTGCTTTGGAGTGGGTATTATAGCTCTGATACTGCTGCTGAATGTTATTTTCTCCTCTTTTATTTTTTTTACCCCTACTTCTCAACAGAGGTATATGATGAGTACTTTAGGAAAGAAAAATAAATCAGTAACATTCATTAAGTGTCCATTATATATGAAGCATTGTGCTGGATTCAGACCAGCAAATCTGCCGGACACTTGGAACGCTCTTGAATTTTAGGATTGGAGGAAGTAAATGAGAATCGTCATCATCCTGGGAGGTAAAATGGCAGCAGCAGGAGGGAGTCAGAAGTGGATAAACTTGCCTCTTTGAGCCAGCTCTTTGGCTGTCTCCTTCCCGATGCCTGTGTTGGCTCCAGTGACCACGGCCACCTTCCCGGGAAGCTGAACAGTTGACGCACACACCCCGCTGGAGAGCATTTTCCTGCAGACAGAGGAGAGCTCATCAGTTCTTCATTTTCCTTGTTTCAGCCAGAGGGCCCTGAAACCCCCTGTGCCTTCAGGCCCCAAGGATGGGGTTTGCTTTGCTTCTTTCCACTGCTGTTCTTTCATAGGTTTAAAGAAGGCTGGAAGCAAGAAAACGAAAGTTTTCTGTTCTCGCTCAAGAATAAAAGTGAGGCCCTGGCAGGTGTGGCTCAGTGGATTGAGTGCTGGCCTGTGAACCAAAGGGGCGCCGGTTCAATTCCCCTCCCCGTCAGGACCCCGTGCCTGGGTAGTGGGCCAGGTCCCCAGTTGGGGGCGTGCAAGAGGCAACCACACACTGCTGTTTCTCTCCCTCTCTAAAGATAAATAAAATCTTTTTTTTTTTAAGAATAAAAGTGAGGCTATTTCAAAGGCAATAATTACTTAGAGCTACTCCCTACCATGTAAGAAGTGGATGAATATTTGATTAGCTAGGGATCTGACTTTGGTCTGAGCTCTTTCATAGGCTCAGGAAATCACAGGACTCAGTCTGGAAGAAGAATGAACTGGCCCACTTATGCCAATCGGTTTATATCACTAATTGGCACCTTTATGGCCTTGATAAATAGCTAAGCCAACATAAAAAGTTAAAATTATGAAAGCTTGTCAATCTGGGACAAAAGAAACAGTAAAAAAACCACACACACTATTAAAAATAAGACCAAGAAAACATAAATAAGTACAAAAGAGAGCTGAGATTCAAGTTCTGATTTAACTAGAGTCCTTGTTCTGAAGCACTATACTATCCTTTTTGAGAAGAATGAATACACAAACGGGAGTTAGCAGGCCTCAGATCATTCTCTTCTCTTCTCTGCCAGTCTTGAAACTCATGTTAAAAGAATCTGTTGACTAGGAGATGCACTTTAAAGGGCATTTCAGCCTTTTTCATTGAACTTGGAATTGCAAGCCACACACACTCCTAGCCACTCAAGCTATCCACTTAGTGCAACCAGGCGGATAAGAATAAGCCCCCTCTGCTAGTTTTCCACATCCCTTCAGCTCCAGGAGGGACAATGTCTCAGGACCTCCATTCAGCTTAAGCAGGAATGAAGAGGACAATCAACTGGGAAAGACCAGCTCTGGCCTAGCTCCCATGACAGAACTAGGTGGTTAGGAACAAGGCTCTTGGGGTATTATCTTCCTCAGACAAATCTCGCTGAGATAACGAGCACTGTTTTCATTTCAGGCTCAACTTTTCAGTGAGATTCTATGTAGATAAGAGGATCTTGTGGTGGAAAGATTTTAAAAAACAGTCGTTTTCTTCTGAGTACAGGCACGGAGTGTGCCTGGGGGTGGGAGCACCGAGTGTTCAGAGGAGAGAAAAATACAACTGGGTGAGAGGCACGGGGGGGGCACGGGGTAAGAAGAGGTGAACTGGGTAAGAAATGACGGTGTAATCTAGCGCGCCTCCCAGTTCTATTGGGACGGTGACTATCCCAGCATCCAGACTATCCCAGCATCCAGCGACACGCACCACCCTACCCCGCCCCTCTGTGTCCTTTCGGTTTCTGGTTCACCGTCACCACTGGTGATTTACTCACAACCAATCGGCGGGCTGCCTGTTTTCTAGCTCACTGCCGATTCCCTCGGGGCGCTCAGCCAGCCATTGACTGACTTACCACCTGATTGGGAGACCACTACCCTCTCCGCCCCACCCCGAAATCCCAGGGCTCGCCCCCGATCCCAATAATTCTGCTCCAAAAGCAGGACAGGGCTCAGGGTCATCATTTTCCCTCCTTTATAACATCGCCCAGAGAGGCACGGCGAATCTAACGGTAACCAGGGAGCAAGCAATGGAGATGCAGATGTCACGACTCCCGTCAAGAGCCAGTTTCAGAAAGCAGATAGTTGAATCGCTCCATTGTACTTGAAAGGCTGGAAGCAAGAGGCTGAACAGAGTTGGTTCAAGGCATGGGAGCTACGGGGAAAACAGTCTTGAAGTTCACACCTTATTTTGGGGTCTGAAGCCCCCAAAGCTGTAAACTTAAGTGTTTTGAGATAGCCTGGCATTCGGGGTTCGCTGGAGTCGGAAGCAAGGGCTACTTACATGGGAAAGGGGACCGGGAGAAACAAAGCAGGGAGCTCTGGTCTGCAGTCCCTTCCCATGGCTTGGGGGTCCGATGGTAGCACCCTCCCTGCATCTAGAGCAGCCGGACCTCCTCCGACCAACCTAACCCGGTCCACGTGGACGTTTCCTTTTCCTTCTGTTGAAGTACAGATTAATCATTCAGGATTAATACCGCCCTCCCCCACAAAGACTTCTCAAGAGAAGGCATTACATTTGCACAGACCTGATTTGGGGTGCAGCGATGTACAAGAGAAGGGGGAGGAGGAGAAGCAGGAGCAGGACCCCAATCATCTTGCGGGGCAGCAGCTGCGGCGGGGCAACCACGTATGGTGATACTCCCGCGGTGCCCACCGACCGTGGTTTCTCTTCCCTAACACGCCCTAGTCTAGTACGACGGCAAAGCCGGAGAGCGAGGCCGTCTGGGAAATGTAGTCCAAAGCCTGGCGTGGGCTAACAGGCAGGGAGCGTGCTCTTCCCAATCGCCGAGAGAAGTTGAACCGGACGCCAGGTGCACTGCAGATCCCCAACCATCTAGGGTCCAGGGCGTTTGGGGTCATCCAACCAGCTCTCCCCCAGCCCTTCTGGCCACCGGCGGTTCTCGGGAAATCTCCCCAGACCTCTATCTCCCGGTGCCCTCGTCCAGACCCCGGTTCACTTTTCCCCAATGATCGTTAGGCAGTTACCACATGGTTTCTCCTGGAGATCAAATATTGGCACCTGGGAAATGTTTGAGGCCGTTGACACAGGAAAGGAGCAGTTGGCGCCCGACAGTTGGTAAGAAAGGGGGAGGTGAGAATTCTTCCTCCTCAGGGATTCCAGTGGAGCAGAAGCAATTGGTCCCTGAACACATTCCCGGGAGAATCACTTTACTGTGTCTATTTTGAATTCTGATGGCAATTATCATAATTTTCCTAGAGTTTGACAGTTGCTTGGTAATAGAATATGGTTTTCTTGATGGCTCGGGTTACTAATATGAACCCCAAGGTAGCAATGAATTTCTCAGGGTAGCACCTCGGTTGGTTTTGCCAACTCATCAAAGTATTTAATCCCGTCTTGAATGAAGGCCACGAAAATTCTATGGGAATAAGGTTCCCTGTTCAGTCATTCCCTGCAGCTCTGCGGTCCGAGGCCTATATCTGGTTTCCAGGGGGCAAAGATGCGGGATGGTTCGCTAGTCAATATCTGGCTGTGATTCCTTATTGCATTGTATGAATGTGTTCTGGATCTTTCTTCTGGATAATTCATTTCCATTTGATCGAAAGACACAGACTCCAAGGTCAATCGAAATCGACATCAATTGGAGAGGAGAGGTTTCCTTCATACAAGTTTCTACTGATTGGACATCAGGTTATCCAATTTTGTCACATGTTCGTTACTGTGTTACCTAATATTTGAACAGGGTTTTCACCTTAATTAAAAGCTTTTTCACGTGTTTTGTTTCATGTGTATTCCTGTGCTGAGGTCCAATGGGGAGCCAGGCAGAAATGACTTCTGGCCTGTCAGGGAAGACCTTAAACAGAAGATCACTGTGAATGACTCAGATAAGGGTTACGAAGGGGAAGAGAGAAAGCTTTGGGAGCTCATAGCAGGAGGCCCCTCCTGGTCTAGAGATCAGGAACAGCTTGTTTGAGGACACATTTGAGCTGAAGCCCGAGGGAAGGTCAGGAGTTAGTGGACAAGCAACCCTACAGGCAAGAGTGCTCTGAGCAGAGGAAGAGCCTACCTGAGGGATCAGAGTCAGAGCAGGCAGCACGAGAATGATGGGGAACACTGGGCTGGCTGAGGCATGGGGCAGGGCGGAGGGCCAGAAATGGCAATGATGGCCACAACTTATATAGTGCTTATTGTGTGCCTAGCCATGTCCAAGTGCCTTATATCTATTTACTCCTTTTATTTCTATAACAACTCTATAAAGCAGGTACTGTAATTTCCCCTATTTTACAGACAAGGAAACTGAGGCAACAGGAAGTTTGACTAAGTCAGCCCAGGTCATAGTGGCAGAGCTGAAATTCAGACATAAGCAGGTTCTCTCCAGGGTCTGTGTCCTTAAATACTGAGCCACATTGCCAAAAGATGAGGCTCGAGACACAGAGACACACTTGCACATCCACACAAAACAGGCACGCAGTTTCATCTGTAGGACCCAGATTAAACACCTCTGGTTCAACCCGATAACTGGAGATGGGGAAACAGATGTGTGGCTCAGATAGGCAGTGACAAAAAGCAGGGAGGAGGCCCTTGAGGAGCATTAACACTAGGGGCTCGGTGGGGGCAGGGGAGCCTGAAAGTGGCCTGAGAAAAAGGAGACAGATTGGAGATGTGCCTGTCTGGGTCCAATCAGGTTGGAGAAAACACACAGCACTTGAACAGGGAAAGTTTACCATAAAGAATTATTAATCATAATAGGGGATTGGAGTAATGAGAGATGGGCTAGTACAGGGGTTCTTAAACTTTTTCTGTAAAGGAATATAAATATTTTAGACTTTGGAGCTATACGGTCTCTGTTGCAACTCAATCCTGCTGTTGTATCGTGAAAACAGCCATAGACAATATATACATGAATGAGCATGGATGTGTTCCAATAAAACTTTATTTACAAAAACAGGCAGTGGGTTGGATTTCACCTGCGGGCCATGGTTTGCCAACCCATGGGCTAGTAAGCAGTAAAGAGAACTCAAAAGAAGGTAAAAAGAGCAGCTATAATAAAAACATAATAGCAGATATAATGTAAAAAACTTGAAAGCAGACATAATATTATAACATAAATGACACGATATAATATAATACCATATATCACAGTCACTATCTGGGCTGAGATAGAACTCCCAAGGAAGAGACCCCTTCCACTCCCGAGCTGAGACCCAGACCCTGCTGGAGACGAACAGGAATAGCACCCGGAAAAGCACAGAAGTCGCTGTGGTGCTGCACCAGAGGAATTTGCTGGAAATCTACTGTCTAGGGCGTCAGGGAGAGCTGTCCACAGGAAGTGTCTCACTGGAGGCACTTTGCTGCAACCCACCCCCCCGCCAAGGGGACAGCTGCTGGGGGAGGTCACCTGCCACCAAATGCTGATGGAGTCAGCACTGGAGAAGCTGTAGGCACTGCAGGAGCCTAGTGCTCCAGAGTCCAATCGTGCTAGAGCCACCCCACCAGACCTGGAGGCAAACCCCTTTCCCCTGCAATCTCTCTCCAGTGCCACCCACTGACGAAGCTTAACATCGGGCCAGATGGCAAAGAAAAAATAAACAGTCCATTTCCACTTACACAGAACAGGCAAAAAGAATGAATTGAAGCTGAGAGGCAATAAATTGATACCTGGCACAGGAGGTAATCTGGGGAATATAGTGTAATAAATCGTACTGAAAAGGTATTTCAAGAAGTGGGAACTCACAACACGAAAAACATTATTCATAGAATATACTGATGTTAGACCTCACCAAAATTAAGAATTTCTTCTCTTTGAAAGCTAATAAAATCATAGACTGAGAGAAAATATTTGCAAAACACATACCTGATAAAGGGTGTGTAGTCAGAATATAAAGTTTTAAAAACTCCCAAAACTCGGGATTAAGAAAACAACCCGATTTTCTAAATGGTCAAGTGATTTCAATAGATGCTTCCCCAAAGGAGATACAGAGATGGAAAATAAGCACATAAAAAAGACTCAATATTATGTGATTAGGGAAATGAAAATTAAAACCATAATAAAATACCACTATATACCTACTACAGGGTCCAGCACAAATAATGCCCCTTTTTTACTACAAAATCTTTTATTACAAAATCATAAGCATGTAATTCTGTAACATAACAAAGTCACACTCAAGCACACCATATGACATTTTAGGTGAAATATTCAAATTTCTGTTCACCTTGTGCAAGACACTCACGTACCCTGCCAACCACACTCAAGCCAGCCTTCCTTCTGCCAGAGCCTGTGTGATGGCTAAAATAAAGCAGACAGACCACACCAAGAATTGGTGAAAATGTGCAGCAACGGAAACTCTCATGCATTGCTTTTAAGAATGCAAAATGGTGGGACCACTTTGGAAAACAGTTTGGCAATTTCTCAAAAAGTTAAATGTTTATCATACAACTATTATTGTGAATTTTCCAAAAGAAATAAAAGTTATTTATATAAAGACTTGTCTATGAATGATCATAGAAGCTTTCTTTGTTATGATAAAAGACAGGAAACAATCAAAATGTTCATTAATAGGTGAACGGATAAACAAACTGTGATGCAGCCATACGATGAAACACAACTCGTCAGTGAGGAGTAAAGTGTTGATGCATGCATGGGCCTGACTGAGTCTCCAAGTCGTTATGTTGAGTGAAAGAAGCCAGACAAAAGAAAGAGCGCATACTTTATGATTCCAATTATACACAATTCTAGAAAATGCAAACTGTAGATTGCAGAGAGAAGGCACAGCACTGGCTTCCCAGGGATGGGAGGCAGTGAGGAGGGATGGGAGGGTTTTACCAAAGGAAACAACAAAACTTCTGGGGGCGCTGGATATGTCCATCTTGACTGTGATGATAGTTTTATGAGTGTATGCAAATGACAAGACCTGTCAAACTGTGTACTTTTAACATGTGCAGAGAGTTGCATGTCAATTACACCTCACTAAAGCAATTAAAATTGGGGAAGTAGGAACCGATTAGGTGTGCCATGCTACCAAGAAGTCAAGAAACCTAAGGGCTGAAACATGTCCACTAGATTTATCATCACCAAAGCCACTGGTGACAGTGTGGAGAACGGCTTCAGAGAAGTGGAGGGTGGGAGCCTGACTGGGGCAGGCTGAGGAGGGAGGAGAAAGGAATAAAGTGTAGCCAACTCTTTCAAGCTGGGACGGAGAGAAGAGGTTATCAGGAGGGGGAGTTGGGACGGCAGGATCATTTTTAAAGAGGAAAAAGTTGAAGATAAAGGGGAGACAGGAGACAAGTGATAGAGTAAGGTCCCGGAGAAAGCAGGAAGGGGTGGGCTAGAGAGATATTCATCTTAAGAGAAACAGGAAGATATGATGAGCTTACACTCAAACAGATGTATAAATTTGTTACCAGGTTATTGAAGAATTTCCCTTCTGATGGTCCGTGTGTGTGTGTGTGTGTGTGTGTGTGTGTGTGTGTGATGAAGAAGCAAGAAAGCCTGCTGAAATTGGGGGGAATAAGCAAAAAGTTTAAGAAGGGTATCAAAGGTTTGAAATAATTACTGTGGAGGTTAAGGAAATAAAAAAATTGACAGTTTTATTGGAGTGATGTTGGTGGCTATTTACTGGGTGAGGCAAAGGTAAGTTTACAGTTGCTTACATGGAAAATAATACAATAATTAATCAATAATAATGCAAGAATAAACTCTGTTTTGCATACTCACAACTGTAAA